CTAGGAACGACTTCTAGACATGTCTCACATTCTCTTCAAATCTACCATTTTCAATCAAACACAAATATGAAGAAGAAAAAAAGGATGTAAATATCAAAAGTTCAAAGAACTCGCTAAAGAAAAAGAATCACTCTACAATAATTCAAATTGTCTTAGAAAATGTCAAGCTCGTTAAAATTTATATGATTAAGAGGAATAACTCATCAAAAATATCTTTATGAAGAACTTTAAACACTTAATAACTCAATAGTAATCCTTATGAATTTTTTGAAAGCTCACTATAGTAAGAACAAAAATCAACTAGAAAGTGAGAAAGACAAAGACACAACCACCCATTTATAGGAAAAAGAGAGTGAAATTTTGCATTAAGTACTCAAAAGCCCAAGTTCGATAAACAAGCACAACCTAACATGGACCAATCACATATCACTATTAGTCCTACAAAATAGCTAAAGTGGATTCTATTTGATAGATAAAAGAGATTCCAAAAGGTCCAACCTCTTCGATTTTCTCAAATACTCTCAAGAATGAATGTTTGTTTTCCCATATGTCTTCACGTTTATTGAGGTTAAAGGTATTAAATGAGTCTTCAATACACCCATTAAGGTCTAGTATGAAAAAGACAAGTAAGATACTACTAGTTATCTCGAGCAATCATCAACTATTTTTTTAGAGAGCATAATTTGAACCTTCGCCAAGTACACTTGCCAAAGACTTAAAAGGACTACTAATATACCCAAAAAATCACAATCTTGACAAGTGTCTTTTTTCCCCACTTAAAGACCACTCGGATAATGTTTTTCCATGAATAAGACAACTTTGATCAATCATCCAAGGGATCATAACTCGATAAAGCCCGGACAACTAATATAGATGAATGACCCAAACAAAAAAGGCACTCCTCCTTTTACTTATTACATAAAAGGAACATATATTTAATGAAAGTGTGGATTCTTAGGATGTTTACGTCACATCGTCACTAAATATGATTGCATATGCGTTGTTAGACAACAACATTCATTTAAAGAAATTCTACTCTCAAGTAGTTGTCAAGAGTTATTTAACACAAGGGAAGAAACCAATCTACCATCTACTCTATGTAAGTTGATCGTACTTCACCTATATAAAAGTTAACACATTAAGTGTTATATGTTATGTCTTCTAAACTCAAAACGAGACAATATTATGTATCCGCTCTATACAAGAGCTAAATTCCTTAAAAATATACTTAGACCATACACCTCTCTTTATAAGCTAACTTAGTCATTGAAAGGTTCTTCAAAAAAAAAAAAAAAAAAAAAAAAACCTTGTTTTGCATGTACTTATAATTTATTCAATGTACAAAAAGTTATATCAATAATATAATCAGTTTGGATTTAAAATGATATATACAACCATCAATTTAATTCTAAGTGGAAGATCACCTCAACAAATAGAACTAATCAAAATTAGGTATTTGCATTGCAATGTGTCACTCGAGTGAATACTAAATAACAAGCGCTCGTCGATAAATACAGCTCGTCTTGCAAAAAGATAAAGATAATGGGGGTATGATTTTATATTCTTGATGCAGGGCCCATGTTATCTATTTATATATATATATAATCCTGATCTAATTAACCATTTTAGCTATTAAGTGATCAACTAATTTTATTAATTTAGTGAATATGTTTTCAAACCATCCGTTTCATGACTAATTCTACAGCACTTTGGTTTTCCTTGTGCTGTGGAAATAATGGTGCTACCTGTCCATCTCTTTTTGTCCTTTTTTTCCCCCTTGTTTGAAATACAACTTTAATTTGACATGACTCTTTTTTATTTTATCACAAATATGTAGTCGTTGAATAACAAATGTATATATTTACGTACACATTTTCTGAAGAATCTTGTCATTAATTTCCTTGTTGAGCAGCTATATTACTGTACCATTTTAGTGCGCAAAAAAGTTGAGAAGAAACAATGATATGTCAACGAAGCACGACCGCCAAATGCATTAAGGAAGAATGTAGCTTGCAGCATAGAAGTCGCGCGTCCATGAGAATAAATTTCATACAAAAAATGAACCACATATATATATATATATATATATATATATATATATATATATATATATATATATATATAAGGCTAGAGAGTAAGGATATATATATATATATATATATATCCTTACTCTCTAGCCTTTATATATGTAGACCTCCTAGTTCTTCATCAATCAAAATCAAGCAAGCTCCAAAAGAACAAAAAATTGTCCCCTACTTCTACATGGATATGAGATTTATTCGGTACGGTCATTTCCAAAATTGTTTACACGTCATTAGTACTTAAAAAGGAATTAGAATGCAGATAAGGTTTGGATGCGAGTAGGGCAAAGCACAATTATAGAATTGATCCAAAGCATTAACTTGCTTTGCTGTTTCCCTCTTATAAGGTAGCTACAGACACACTAGCCATGATTCATTCATCTACATAACTTGGTGTATTTGGAAATGCTTTTCGTGGAGTAACAAAAGTGAAATAACACCATATATATGATTTTTGTTTCACTATAGAAAGTTTTAGGGCGTACCTTTTTTTTTTTAAAAAAAAAAAAAAAAAAAAAAAAAAAAGAAGATCACGTCTGCTATGCCTTTTTCATTCCCATAAAAGATCATAAATTTGGTTTTGCAGTTTTTCTATTAAGGGTAGGAAAAACAAAATGAAAAGTATATATATATATATATACACACAAGATCGCGTCAGATCCTACTCACTAGTGATTGCTGACTTTGCTAATCGACCTGACGATCAATTTGTATATTATGAAGTATATAAATGAATTAAGATAATACATCAATGGCTGACTATGTGCATAAATACACACAAATGTTTACAACATTGGAGTTTTAGTAGTGTATAATACACGAACACATGCAGGTGATCAGTATGAGGATTTAATATGTCCTTGTTTTGGTATTAATTAACAAATTAATTAATTAATAGTTTAAAAGTGTAAAAGATAACATGGGGCTATGGTAAGTAACAATTTTATATTATGCCTGCATAAGATACATCATTTCTTTATTGCTTTTTCCCTTGTTTCATTGTCATGTTGGGGTCACTATGATTTAAATGTGATGCTATTAGTATTCACTTTGAAAACATTTAATTTAGCATTGGATAGTGGTGACCGAGTTATTCCTCCCCCTTTTTTTTGTTAGGTATTGAAGACAGGGCAGTAAACACTAGGTTTTGTTGGACTAGTTATGCCCTCTTTTAGCATATTTAATAGTAGTAATTCATGAATTCCTAGTGATATTCACACACTTTCCAGTGCCTCAACACTACTTCATAAATTCTCCTAATTGATACTAATATGGGGTTTTTATTTATGACAAGTTGTGGATAATTAATCACCGAGCCCATGAAAATAATTAAGGGATTTCTCAATCTTTTGAAGCAGTGATTCCCACCAATTAGATGGCGGTTGAAGCAAGTTTAACAACCTTATTTTTTAAGGCAAGATCTACCTTTTCTTTCCCGTCCATTAAGAACATAGTGATGGCAATTTGTAAGCATATGCTGCTTAGCAGCTTTATAGGCAGGATGACGCTCTCTTTTAACTTCGTGTTGCTCAGATTAAATAGTGTTATTGCAAAAAAAAAAAAAAAAAGAAGATAAATTACATTCTAACTCTTGAGAATACGCAGCATTCCATTTCGGCTCTTATAGTTTAAAATTTTCCAATATCAACCTTAAGGTTTTCAAAAAGTTATGATGTGGTCTTTTTCCTTAAACAGTAAACAACTAGCATTAGGACCCTTTTCTTTTTTTCTTTTTTCTTTTTCTTTTTTTTCAATTTTTGTAACTACTTCGAAAGCTTAAGAGTTTTTGTGGATCAAGTATCACATTGTATGAAATTTTTGGAGGAAAGAGAAGAAAAATAAGAACAATGAAAGAAAAATTGAAACGTTACCGGTTGTTGGCCACTTAATAGTAAAGAGTCACAATGGAACTTTTGGAAAAATCATAGAATTGATATTGAGAAAGTTTAACATATAGTGGCCAAAGTGGAACATTTATGAAACTACATGGGCTAAATATAATTACCCAAAAAAGTGTTCTACTTCTCAGTAACTCAAGCAGGCATTCTCTTGGAACAGGCACGATAGACAGTAGTCTCTTCAATCAGTTTGCTATTTTGGAGAGTAATTAAGAAATGGTCTCAAAAAATTGAACCAACAAATAAAACGACCAAGTACAGTTTAGTTAATTCAACACGCTTTAGTCAGCTAAGTTTGCAGAAGAAATTGCAAAGCCTTGAGTTATTGGAATACAGTGCACACCATAAACTTTACAGTGAGATTTTATGGCTATCTACACCACACAAGATTTTGAGTAGTGGCTCCATGATGGGGATTTGTTGGGGAGAAGGAGAGCACCAAAATTAGTTTATATATAGCTATCTAATTAAATTCTCGAAGATTTGAGGGCTTATTTCATGGAAATTACTGCAAGCTGCAGCTCATAAAATCCTAACGGGTTCTGAAAATCTTTAGTGGGCTAAACATTTCTTTGCTATTTTTGTTCTGTTTGGAGTGGGCTAAAACTCCAAAAAAATCACTTATAACTAATTAATGGGCTACTGTTTCTATTTCTAAAAGGTACCTTACAACCAAGTTTTAAATACAATTTTTTTTACGAGCACAAAGCCTAGTCAGCAACATTTTGGAGAAAAAACTTTTTGATGATAAAAAAATTAAAAAAATCTTTGTCATCTCATCATACAAAAGACACTAGCTAACACATGCATCAATTTAATATTCTGAGCCTACTTTTTGTTCTTATAAATACAGGCTACTGATTGACACTCTCCTAACCAATTGATTCTTAAGCAACCAAATATAGCTCCGAAGAAAAAGGAAATCCACTTCAGAAGGTTCATTTTTGCCTTAGTCCTTTGGTAATAACCATTTCTCTCTTCAGTGCATATAGCTGCCCCCCTTCAAAACATATTTCAAGGCATGGAGATTGATCACTCAGCAATTCAAGAGAAGGCCGGGCCTTTTCCTCGAGCATGGGGCTTGCTCAAGGCCTTGCCTGATAAGGCCAAGGCCAAGGTTATACGTGTTGCAAAGAGCATAAAAACACTTGGACAGGATGACCCAAGAAGAATCATCCACTCCCTAAAAGTGGGACTAGCTCTCACACTGGTATCCTTAGTGTATTATTTGAGGCCTCTCTATGATGGCTTTGGGGTTGCAGGAATGTGGGCTGTGCTAACTGTGGTAGTAATTTTTGAATTCACCGTAGGTGAGTTGATTGGTACGCAGGACTTGTATATTGCTCATATTTCCTCAAAAAGATTCCACAAGTTCTCAAATAATGTTTTACCGTTTCTTTGTTGTTGTTTAGGTGGAACATTGAGCAAGGGTTTGAATAGAGGTTTTGCAACATTACTAGCTTGTGCTCTAGGACTCGGAGCTCAACACTTGGCCTGTCTCTTTGGAAACAAAGGGCAGCCCATTGTCCTTGGAATCCTTGTCTTCTTATTAGGTATATTGCTTATATACAGACAAAAGCACTTTTGTTAAGGCAAACTGCGCTAATCCAAGTCACTTTTTGGTGTATGCAGCTGCAGCATCTACATTCTCGCGATTCTTCCCACGAATCAAAGCTAGATATGACTATGGAGTCTTGATATTTATATTAACATTCAGTCTGGTATCTGTTTCGGGGTATCGAGTTGAAGAACTCTTAGTAATGGCACATCAAAGGCTATCAACAATACTAGTGGGGGGAGCAACTTGCATAGTTGTATCCATCTGTATTTGTCCTGTTTGGGCAGGTGAAAATCTTCATAACTTGGTTGCCTCCAACGTAGAAAAGCTTGCAAGCTACCTAGAAGGTTAGTAATACCTTGAAAAATCATTAAATTAATTCCTTTTGTTTGTTCATTTCATCTCGATGTAATTATTTTAAATTGAATTAAAGGTCACTAAAAAAAATTTCACAGGTTTTGGAGGTGAATATTTTCAGTCCCATGAGGGTTCCAATAGCGACAAATCATTTCTTCAAGGATATAAAAATGTCCTCGATTCAAAACCCACTGAAGATACCATGGTAAGGACAGTCTCCACTAACATGCACTTTTGTCTTTGCATGAATGCCACTAACATCTACACTTTTGTTGAGCTTCTTCAACTCTCTATCCTAATATTTATGCCATCTTGCTGTACGTTTTCTGCTGGCTGTGCTCATGAAGTGCTAATCAATTAGTGCTCCTGATTCCTGAACTATATCGCAGGCAAATCTTGCAACATGGGAGCCTGGACACGGTCGTTTTGGTTTCCGGCATCCATGGAAACAATACTTGAAGATTGGAGCGCTCTCACGTCAATGTGCTTACCAGATTGAAACTCTTAATGGCTACATTAACTCTGATATCCAAGTAATAATCTATCACAAGTACTTTTTCTCTGACGTTTACAGGAATAACAATTTAACACCCAGCATCCCTGGTTTAATTCCATTAGACAAAATGGGTCCGTACTCGTGATAAATAATTACTTCCTCTATTTATTACTACAATTCATGAGTATGCACACCATCCATAGTGTTTTGATGAAATCACCCTACAAATCTGCTTTTCAAAGATACTTCCACTAACAACTTTACATTTGCAGTTTCCTTTCTATAAAGAAACAAAAGAAAATACTAAACATATTATGCTACTCTTTCCAGGCACCAATAGAATTCCGATGCAAAATCCAAGAACCATGTACACAGATTAGTGCAGAATGTGGCAAGGCACTGAAATCACTAGCCTTGGCTATCAAAACCATGACTGTTCCATCCTCCGCTAATTTCCATGTGGAGAACTGCAAAACTGCGGTCAAGGCCCTCAAAATTGTCCTCAAAGCTGTCTCACCGGAGCATGATGAAGACCTTTTGGGAATTATGCCAGCTTTAACAGTTGCGTCGATACTATTTCAGATCGTTATATGCGTGGAGAAAATATCCGAAACAGTACACGAGCTCTCTACTCTAGCACACTTTAAGAGCGTGGAACCTACTGTGTCGCCAGAGAAACCACAGTTACTTCACCGAGGAACCATAAATCCTGTTTTAGATGGTGACAGTGACCATGTTGTTATTACCATACATGGAACATCCACAGATTCTCCAGAAAATTATGAGAATCCTCAGGCGCCAAAGCCGACGAGTAGAAGTGTAAATATTTGTTAAACAACAATCATGTAAATTCTAGTGTTGGAATGTTGTAGAGGGAAGGGTTAATATTGTTAACTACACTTTCCCATTATTTCATGATTCCTTTGTCACAATCAGTTCTCGTGAGAGAGAGGGAGAGAGAGAGAGAGAGAGATGGCAGAAGGTAACTAAGAAAGCAGTGGTCTTTCTCTTGAGCTATATATGTGAAGTAGAAACTATCCCAATCCATTCCACCTGCGACCAACCATCAGGTGATGTTGCGTCACAGGAAAAAGGTGCTCACGCCAGTGGCCTACAGGCCTACCATAAGGCCGATGCTGCATTTTATGGTGAAAACTGAAAAGTTCATCATGCCAGTTTGCTGGAGATGCAATAATGTATTTGATAGTTGTTTGTTTGTTTGTTTTTTTGGTGCCATAAAGAGAATAAAAAATATCATTATTATAGGGATCATCCTCTTCATATTAATTTACTAACTAAAACTTGTATAAACCCACGTTACCCTCTACTATGAAATTTTACTTCTTTTCACGGCCGTACACATTTCTCATATTTTTAGAAAAATCAATTGTATCGAGGATTGACTCGCATTTTATTTCTTTTTTTTTTTTTTTTTTTTTTGCCTAAGAACTTTTTATTTTCAGATTGCTTCTGTAGATTGTACAAACTTTTTTTTAGAGAATATTTGTGGAGTTACGACTTTTAGACTTTGTAAAAGTTTCTTAGAGTTTTGTCTCTCCCCTTGATAAAAAAAAAATGTTCTTTTATTTAAAAAAAATAAAAATCCTCCTCTTTAACTTTTTATATAATTTGAAAAAGTTATTAAGTGTTTGCCATATCGGTATTTTTTATTCATATTTTTCTAAAATATATATTTTTAATTATTAGTTATTAAATTTAATCTTACATTATAAAGAATCAATATTAATTTTAAAAAATTCTAATCAAATAAAAGATTATTAAGCTAATTAACAATTAAGTTTAAAAAATTATGGAAAAATAACGCACTAATGGATCTATATTTTACTCTTAAAATTTTGGAATCTAGTATAAAGTCCATACAAGATTTTTGATCAAAAATTAAAGCAGCAAATTAAAATTTTCATCCCTTCCAAATTTGAGGTGACAAAGAATTTTGGTTGAAATAAATACAAAATTCTTCATTTGAGCAAACAAAAATTGAAGGGTATAGGACAACTTCTAATTTGTCTTGAATGTGAGATCGTAATATTTTGCAAACTACTATGGATTTTCTAGAAGAATAAATATTTTTCATGAAAAAAAAAAAAAACCCTTTTGAAATATGTATGTTAAAGGTATTTGTATGTACAAGGAAAAATATAAAAATATTGATAATTTTGTTAGTCAAGAACATGAAATGAAAGAAAGAATTGATTTTTTTTATTATTATTTAGAAGTATTTTTTTTAAAAAAATGACAAGACAAATATTTTGAGACACGTATAAATAGAAAAAAATTTTTAAAATAGAGAAAGTACTTAGAAGAGAAAATATACATTCTATTCATGAATGGGATCAAAATATTATAAAAAATATAATTAAGGTACAATTACAAAGCCATAGAGGTAGAGGCAAAAGACACATTAACAAGACAGTATATGAATTAGACAGTAAAAATTTCTCTTGCTTCCCCGAAGGGTTGAAAAAAACTACTTAACCTTGGGTAGGATTAACGATTATAGGCGTCTTCTTAGGTTTTTTTTTTTTTTTCATTTTTATTGTGTTTTTCTATTCTTTTTTCTCTCAAGTTCATCCTTTTATTTTTTATTTATGTCTTAATCATGTTATTACGTTAATTTTTTAGGTTAATTATGTTAAATTGCACTGTTAGAGCTACAGAATTGCACCATATTGTGTCAACTTTTTTTCTTATTCTCATCTCTCTGCGCTTCTTCTTTTTTTTTTTAACCAGAATTAAATAAATGAATTTAAAAAATAATAATAATAAAGATATATGTGGCCTTTTAACCACTTTTGAGTGAAAATTTAAAAAATTTATATTTCTATTTTTGAGTCAAAATAAAGAAATTTATAAAATGAGAATAAATAAATTATAATACACTCCTTTGTGGTATGAATATAAATGTCATTCAAAATTTTAAAATTTTAACTAAAATTCTCTTAACATTTAAAAAAATACTATAAATTTTTTATTTTATACTTAAAATTTTTTTAGTATCATAGAGATAAATCTAAATCTATAAATTAAAGGATATTTTGAATAAAAAATATTTTTATCTCCACCTCTTTTTTACATTTTTTTAATTTTTAATTTTTAAAGAGAATGATTGATATATCTAAAAAAAATATAAAAAATAAAAATATACTTTTTGAGGTATTTAAAATTATAAATATCATTCAAAAGTTTAAAATTTTAACTAAAATTCTCTTGACATTTAAAAGAAATACTACAAATATTTATATCCCAAAACGAAGTTGAATTAACTAATAAGCCAAATTTAAAATATGATTTTGTGATGGGATTGGATTTTCATCTCTATTTCCCCCTAAAAAAAATTAAACTAAAAAAGAAAAAAAGGTGAAGAATCAGCCAAAAGAAGAAGAAGGAAGAAGCGAGGCCTAGGCTTGCAAGGCACACTACAAAAACATTTTAGATTAGCGACGGTTTAGACCAACTCTAATCACATGAAAATCGTCGCTAATTATATTTAGAGACAAGTTTGCAACGGTCCAAAAACCTTAAAAAAAAATGCCGGTTGGTAAATTTTATGACGGTTTGAGACCTTCTCTAATTTCTACAACGAGTTTAGAGATGATTTTAGACCGTCTCTAAATTCTACAATTTTGCGACGGTTCATTCCGTCGCTAATGGCCTCTTTTTTTTTTAAATCTCAATTTAAAATTAAAAAATACCAAAAAGATAAAATTTTAAAATTGAATAAATTTATTTAAAATGTAAAACATTTTATTAAATTAACAAATTCTCATAAACATTGTAAGGTTTTTTGTTATAACAAGAAATAAAACATAATAAGCTAGGATTGACCAACGGGATCTTCACTCGGAGGTTGGGTTGAATTGTCCGGAGGTTGGGTGGAATCATCGTCGGTGTTAGGCATGATGGATGAAATGCTTGAATGCATTTGCTACATAAAAATTTATCGTATCTATGTCATCATCGCTTGTTGTTATCGATCGTACTCCTCCAATCTTTTAATTGTCTCCACCAACGATGTGATAGTAGACTCTAGTTAACTATATCGATCCTCGCCATCCTTTCACTCGTGCCTCATCACCAACATTGCGACATGAAGTTGCCGAACTAGAGGCTATACTAACGTTGGATTAGTAGTGCGATGCGTGTGACCCGAGTCCGTACATCCTTTTCCTCTTATTATCTCCTCCACCAATAGCGGTCCTAAATATCTCATTAATGTTAATGTCCGACGATGAACTCCCCGCGGTCCGCCAACTAGAAACCTCCTCCTCAATCATTCTTTTTACGGTCTCCTGCATAATTGTGAAATACAAAATATTAAACGATTATATATGTTAAATAAAGTTAAAAATTAATATCTTTGATATGACGTAAAAAACTAAAAGCTTACTCGATAATTCTTAACTCGTTGATTAACGAATATGTATTGATCATCAACCTTTTTCGATGGGTCTTTTTTAAAATCTCGTACGGATCGGGTTCACGACCCAATAACTCACGCTGAAATAAGTATACGCAAATGTATGAAATATACTCAAACTTTTAATTAATTATATTGAAATCACTAAAAAAATTACTCGTATATAAATACATTTACCATGCGTATTCGTGCTCTCTATGGCTGATTGACCCCCTCGTATGTCTTGAAGGACCAACTCCGACGACACCAATCTTGCTCCTATGATTTTGTGCCACCATCTCGGATCGGGCAATGGCCTCGGGTTTTGCCCATTTTGCACGCCATGCATCCTATATGTCATGTGAGATATATTCGGCTTTGGGCCTTGCTTGAGATGAAAAATAAAATCGAAATACCGCTTTCGAGCCAAACATTCCTATGCTATCTTAACGGTGAACTTGTTATTCTCCCACGTAAATGCTTTCCGCAAGAGAAAGAAAAATATTCATTAGTTTACTTAATTTGATGTTTCTTTATACTATGGAGTAACATAATAAATTAACTAAATAAAGCGAGTACCTTAAACTCTTTCCGAGTAGAAGTTTTTTGTTTCCAAACTCATTTTCTTCCATGTCCATCCGAAAATGTGAACATACTCACGGAATATTTTAGTGATATGCCGAGAGCAAACATCCGAAGGATATAACCGATGAAAGTAGCCATCAACTTAACAAATAAATGAATATATGATTATGATAATGAAAAAAAAATTTCATAAAATTATGCATAGAACGTACTCATTGCCACCAACGAGAATAATCGAAACTCGCAAATCGATCGTGGGTTTGATTAATTTTTTAATCGGTAATAAATTTTGTAACAAGTTAATTCCTTTTTTTAATATAATCAACAAATAAATAAACTTAATAACTAATTAATTTCCTTTTTTTAATATAATCAACAAATAAATAAACTTAATAACTAATTAATTTTTTTATAACTAAATATAATTTACAAATAATTAAAATTTGTTATAACTACTTAAGTTTGTAATTACTTAAGTGCTTCACTTAATCAACAACTAATTTATTGAAATATATTATTGACTTATTAACTAAATTAATTACCAAGTGATTTACTTAATTGTTAACTAAATTAAATAAATAAACTTAATTACTAATTAATTTTAAAAAAACTAAATTAGATTTCAAAAAATATTTATTTTTTTAATCTCTAATTAATTATGTAACAAATTAATTCCTTTTTTTAATCTAATCAACAAATAAATAAACTTAACCACTAATTATATTTTTTATAACTAAATATAATTTACAAATAATTAAAATTTGTAATAACTACTTAATTTTGTAATTACTTTACTCCTTCACTTAATCAACAACTAATTAAAAAAAACTTAATTACTAATTAATTTTTCAATTACCAAATATTATTTAGAAAATTAATAATTTTGTAATTGCTAAAATTTTTTATAAAATTATTATCAATTTTTAAAATTAATTAATATTCCAAAAAACCATAAATTAAACTAACTAAATTAATAATTAAAAATATTTAACAATAAACTTACTTAATTAAAAATTAAAATTTACCAATTAAGCTTACAAATTAACAATGAAACTAATAACAACAGAAATCAAATTTTTATTTAACAATTAAACTAACACAAATTCATAACAATTACATTTATTTAACACTTAAACTAATTAAATTAATAATCACAA